TATTTTTTAATTTTTATATATTTTTAATATAATTAATTATATTATAATTATTGTAAAATTATAAAGTTTTCCCAAATTTAGAGCCTTCCCAAATTAGGGGCTTAAAGCCTTTTCTTAGGTGGCTTCACCCAAAGGCCGGCCTTGCATACTACTAAATGGAAGATAAGTCATTTCTAATGAAAGTCATCATTATTAGTGATGACGTATTTGACTTCTAGGACAAAGTAGTAGTCAATTGCAATCGATCAATTGACCAGAATCGACTACGCCAATAATTGTCAACTCGGTTATTCAATGGCAGTTCTTAACGTCGGTTGTGACCATCCATCTTGGGCAACTGTGATTTAGTTGTCGGGGCCACTCCCTCGTCACCCGAATTGATCGAAAACTCGAGGGGGGTATGAAATTCCACTAATAGGCTTCATTAATCCCCCATCCCTCTTCTTGCTTCCATTCTCAACCTCCCTCGATTATTCTACCCTTTTCCCTTTATTCCTTAAAACCTTAAAAATTAGAAAATAAACCTTAAAAATTACCTTAAATTACTTTAATTTTAGTTGTTGCTATTTGATTGCTTTCGTAGTAAAATTGATAAAAAGGTCTTATTTGGTGTGAACCATGCGAGTATTGTCAATGCTTTTTTTGCATATGTTCTAGTATTTTGAGCATATCTTTTAATCTAGAAGTTCAAATGATGTGATTCTTGAACCATTGGAAAGCTAAGAGATAGAACTACAATATTCATGTTTTCCACTTTGCCCAATACTGTTGTTGATTTAGCACACACAAGTATACGTTTCAAACAAGTAATATAGTGATGAAGTACAGTATCATTCCCATAAAGATTTGTTCTTAAATAGCACTGAGTACTAAAATTTATAATAAATTAATCTTATTTAAGTAATTAAAATTTTTAAAAAATTAATTAAAAAAATTAAAACAAGCACTAAGTTAACTAACAAAAATTAAAATTACTTAGAAAAGGCAATAAACTAAACTTAAACCTAGGATTATAGGTTCATTCAACACTTTATCTGATACCAGCTTCTCTTATTATTTATGTTCATAGGTGGTTTTACTAACTTAAAATCTAAAGCTATGTACAAATCTCCGTCGAGATGCTTGCACAAATACCTAACTTAATTGGATCACTATATGTCTGTAGTATTCAATTAAATAAGGTTTATTAAGTTAATGTTCTAATTTGGCTATGTATGGCAATTGACGTATGTCTATTCGAATAGTAAATCAGATCACTTAAGTGACGTGAACATACACTATTTAAACCTTAGTCCAATATAAAATCTTTCTGTCAAGTCTTAATTAGATTCACAAATCAGTTAATTGTTAGCCAAGCAATCAAAAGCATAAAAAACATATTTAAATAAGCAAACTATACCCATTCATAGTAAATAAAAGAGAAACAAATATTCAAATTACATGTTAAAATATACCACAATCCTAGAATGATAATTTAGCTCATAATAACCAATGAAAACAACATCCAATGAAATTTAGCTATGAATCCAAGTCAAAGAAAATAAAAGAAATACCAAAGTAAAGAAAGAAACTAATTATTGAAGTTTTATGATTTCAATTCTCTCTCAAATTCTCTTATTTTTCTTGCTTTGTTCTTGGCTCTTTTTCTCCAGAATAGTCGCTTGCTGCCTCCCCCTCTTAAAACCTCTGAAAAGGCCTTTAAATAGGCTCCAAAAGCCCTAGGTTAAAAATCTCATCAAAAACATATTTTTGGTAAGTCCTCAAGCATCGCGGCACGTTACTCACAAGTGGCACTATGGTGCTGCTCTCTTATACTGTCTCTGCTACACTGTTTAATCTTGGGAGATGATTTTTACCTTTTTTTAAGTCAAACTAGGCAAAATGATACACATAAATGGTGTAGAATCACATCATTTGGACTTCTTAATTGAACGATATACGCAAAATACCGCATCATGTTCAATCTATGTTGACTACTACAATGCTCCAAATTCAACAAGGAATTTGACCACTATCCAATCATAACTGGATGAAGTAATAAACATCAAAGTTGAAGCGCTTTCTCTTAACTTTCTAATGGTCTAAGAATCGTATCAATTGGACTTTTGTAGTTTAAGTTATCCTCGAAATACGAAAATATATGCAAATAAGCTATCACC